TCCAGTTCTTTCGCGTCTCTTCCAGATATCTTATGAATCCGGCACCTTCCCAGAAAACTGGAAATTTGCTCATGTACAGCCCATCCCAAAAAAAGGATCTAAAACCGACCCTTACCACTACAGGCCTATAGCTCTGCTTTCTGTTATAAGTAAAGTGATGGAGAGGTGCATAAATCGCGAGCTTCTGGACTACCTCGAACGTCACAGCTTGATTAGCGACCGGCAGTACGGTTTCCGGCACCAACGATCCACAGGGGACCTCCTAGCTTACGTCACGCAACTGTGGAGTAAACTCATCCAGTCTCATGGTGAGGCTCATGTCGTTGCTCTTGACATCACGAAAGCGTTCGATCAGCTGTGGCACGCTGCCCTCTTGAGCAAACTTCCATCCTACGGCCTCCCAGAAAAGCTTTGCAGATGGGTGGCTGACTTTATCTCTGGCCGCAAGATATCCGTCGTAATTGACGGATTCTCCTCTTCATCCCACAACGTCAACGCGGGTGTTCCCCAGGGATCGGTCTTGGCTCCAACACTGTTTCTCTTACATATCAACGACCTCCTTTCCTGCACGATCAACCCAATCCACAGCTTCGCTGATGACAGCACTCTACATGCAGGAATTCAGAGTGACAAGCCGATCTCTGCCGCTGAGCTGGAAAAAAGAAGACTAGCGACGACTTCTTCTCTGACAAGAGACCTGGAGGCTATCACTGCTTGGGGAAGCAACAATCTTGTACAGTTCAATGCTTCCAAAACACAGTACTGTACTTTGACGAACAAAAAGCGTCCTAGCGCTCATACAGTTTCGATGTACGGTCGAGTCCTACCAAAGAGCCATTCATTTCGGCTGGTCGGAGTCCAGATCACCGAGGACCTGATCTGGCACGAACACATCTCTTCAATAGCTGCAGCTGCTGGGAAAAAGCTAGGCTATTTGTTTAGGGCTAAGAAGTACTTTTCTCCGCATGACCTTCTCACTCTATACAAGGCCCAGATAAGGCCTAGCCTCGAGTATTGCTCACACATTTGGGGTGCTGCCGCCCCGACTACATTGTCCATGCTCGATGCTGTCCAGAGGAGGGCGGTCCGACTGATCGATGACTCTTCTCTAACAGACAGTCTCGGGACTCTTTCGCACCGGCGGGCCGTCGGCGATCTAGCTCTTTTCTATCGCTACACCAACGGGCTTTGCTCCTCAGAGCTCTCTTCCATGATGCCGCCGCGCGATGTGCCTGCCAGACAGACCCGCCTGACTTCGTTGTCCCATCCTAACCGTGTCAAACTTCGTACATCCAGAACTGGCCGATACGACCGCTCCTTTGTCCCGAGGGTGTCTAGATTGTGGAACAAACTACGGGAGGAAGCTTTTCCCAGTTCTACTAACCTTAGGCAGTTCAAAAATCGTATTAACAAAATTTCTTTGGGATCATCATAGCAGCCGCGGTGTTCCGGCATTTAGGCTTCTGCCTGCGCGGCTGTTTCGATATATAAAAAAAAAAAAAAAAAAAAAAAAACACAAAAAAACAGAATATTAATTTGTTTAATTTTCCAATATTATTTTTAACAAATTAAATTAATTATTTACAACTAAAATGCTATTGGATAGTTAGGGCAAACATACAAAATCTAAAGTAGTTGCTCGAAATGTAAACCCAATTGTTCAATACGCAATTCACATCTACGAATGATCGAACGTGGTATAGCATTATTCAAATAAGGCCTTATTTCATCACATGCATTCCTGATTCTGTCTATTAGCATATCTCTTGTGGTTACGGGAGTCTGGTACACTTTTTCTTTTAGAAATCCCCACACAAAGAAATCTAATGGATTTAGATCAGGGGATCGTGGAGGCCAGGCGACTGGTCCGCCACGGCCGATCCATCTTTCTGGATAATTTTCGTCCAGCCAGTTTCTAACTATTCTCGAATAATGAGCTGGACAACCATCAAGCTGGAACCAGGCCAATCTTCTTAAATCTAACATAACATCATCCCACATATTTGCATGTTCAGCCTTTAAAAATTCCAAGAAGGTCGCAGCATTTATCCTTGCAGGCAAAAGGTAGGGTCCAAATAGTCGATTACGGTAGATACCAATCCACACGTTCACACTAAATTCATGCTGAAAATTTCTTTCCCGAACTGCATGCGGATTTTCATGCAACCAAATATGTTGATTATGAAAATTTACCACTCCACGTCTAGTGAAGCATGACTCATCGGTCCATAAAACGTTACTTAAAAACTCCCTATTATTATCAGTTCTATCAAGAATCCACTGACAAAATGTGATTTTTCATTCTCCGTCCCCTGGCTGTAGTCCTTGCACAGGTTGCAAATGGTAAGGACGTCTATGGTCATTTCTAAGAACACGGTGAACATGGCTTGCCAAGGCACCAGAAACTCTCCTAACACTTGTGGTCGGATCTCTATCAAACTCACGCAGAATCATACGGGTAAATCTGCGCTGACGAACATTTATGTTTTGATCCCTTTGGATATTTCCAAAACCATTTTCAATTATTTGGCGATGCACTCTTATAAATACTGAGCGAGTTGGATGTCGTCTGTTTGGAAATCTTCGTGCGTATTCTCTAGCTGATTCTGCTGCCATACACAAAATGAATATCCGCTAACTCTTGATTGGAGAATAAAAATGGCATTTTTATAAAACTTACAAAAAAAACAGGTAAAAGAAACTAAATTTCGTGCGTTCACAATTGCAAAAAAACGTTTCAGGTTTCAACAGACAACAAAACTAACTGTGAACTAATACTGCTTTCAATTTCAAAAATATTTGCAGGCACAGCCTACTTCTAAAAATTATCGAGATACTGACTTTTTAACGTTATCTTATCATAAATAATTAAAAATGCATCGAACCTTAAAAATCGAAATATCTCAAAAACGGCTAACTATAACGAAAATTCACAAGAGAGCTTTTTTATGTTGAAAAGTGCGAAGAATCAGTTTTTTATTCAAAAAGCAAAAAATTGCACTACGAAAAATTTTTCGGTCATTTTAATACACTACAGGTACAGTAGAGAGCGCCCTCTAGCGTCTACAGTAAAACTATGCAAATGGTTCGTTTTGTCGTACCAATACCAATTTTCACTGTTATACATCAAATATTGTTCGAAATATTTAAAAAAAAACTATTTTAGAAAGTAAATTTAAACACCCTGTATTTCGGAAGCCACGCATTTTTCGACCCATGTTTATATAGACTTTATGCATAAATTTTAAAAGTTCTATCGAATTTTAAAGTTATGCAACAATAAACTGAAACACCCTGTTTAATATATACAATAATATACAGGGTGACTTCGAAGTTGAGTCATTTATTTTAACAGTGAGTAGATCTGATCAAAAGAAATGTTTTTTTCCTTTACCATTTTTCTGGTAAAATTAAAGTAACAAAGTTATAGCCCTTTAGAAGTTTGAGTACCGCCCTGTCTCAATAATAATATCATGTGCTCGTGTTTGGCAACAACGGATATAATCCGCCTTACCGGTTCATCGCATCGGAAACAAAAAAGCGAAAGAATTTGGAACGATGTTTTTACAATAAATTATTTTATTCAGTTCAGTTATACATACAGTCAGTGTCAGTCGGTTAGCGTGTGAATAGTGTATGTTGCGTGGCTCAAACGAAATAAAAAATGGCACATGTTTATGCGGATCGGTTTCCCAATCGAGTGCAACCAACCCCTCGTGCCTTTGTTAATGTAGTACAACGGGCTCGTGAATCAGGTGACTTAAGACCTCACAGGGGACCTCACGATCAAATACAGGTCCGCACTGAAATACTAGTCGGGAGGATACTTTATAAAACAAGGTAAACATTTTTTTTATTTTTTTTTTACTTTTACACACATATTCTGGTTTATCTTCCTTCTACAATCATTATCTGAAAATTAATGACTCAACTTCAAAGTCACCCTGTATATAAACGGACCTACTGCGCCGGGCATCCATCTTGCTGGTACCACATGCTTTGTGGCACGTGTTCCAGTAAATATGGTAAATGATTTTGTAAAAAGCCTAAATAAATTTCGCCATTCAAGAACTCTGGCAGCTCAAAGGGTACAATGATTCTCCGATTGAGAATCCCGGTCCACATGTTTACTTTAAAACGATATTGTTATCTATCTTATCTCATCAAATGTAGATTTTCTACATGTCACTCGTGTAAGTTGTGTAGATTCATGTAGGCATTCGTCTGTTTTAAATGTCGACCCATCAGTCCATAAAATTCATTATATCGCGGATCTTTCCGGTATCTCTGTAACATTGTTTGACAAAACTCAACGCCTGGAAGTTAATCCCGGGGTTGTAAATATTATACTCGCTGTACGTGATACGGGAGGAACTCGTTCACTCGCAAGATTCGGTGAGCTGTAGGTATTTTTGGGCACTCCCGTGCTTGCTTCTATTCGACAACATACTGAAGTACTCGGGTCTTCTTCGTCTGCTTGTAGTACGACGTCTTCGAAAGGAAAGGAAATTCTTTCTTCACCATTCACAAAAACGCAGTGATCGGGATAACGAGCAGCATTTTAATACCACTCGCGACAAAGCTGCAGCACTAGCATCTATACGTACATTCCCCATAAATGAGGTGCAAATTGTCGTATTTCGTTACGGTGTACACAGATATGGTGGCTCTACACAATCATGAATGAATAAAAGTGGTGTTACTCTTTGTCTTGCTATCACTACGTAGCATGACACATCACGTCACGTTGACTTCTGGGACACTCTGTATAAAAGTGCTCGGTCAATACTGGAATACTTCTTCACCAAGGAATATAATGTGGTATTTTAGTTGACCTATTATTTCAGTTGGTCTGCAATAACCTAAGATACCAATAGGTATATATGTATACATATATATGAATAAACACAATTATATTTACAAAATATTCAGTAATTACCGAGGTAAGCAAAAACAATTTTAATAGGGAAAATAAAAGAAACATGGGTTAATTGGATCAGACTATATCCGTCGCGTGGATCTCAGGATTGAGGAAGAGGACGAAGAGGAGGGAGGGGGTAGCGTAGCCAAAGCCTTCTCCATCTACTTGGTCGTGACAGTTCGGCGTGGCCGTCGTTGCAACGTGCCGCATCCAGAGCTCACCAGACGACGACCGAACGCATCGAAAATCGATGGGATGGGGAAGCCTTTGGGGGACACCGGGGGGCTGCTCTCTGTCTTAACGCCCCTTCCCCTACCTCATACACCCCCGTACACCACTGGTCCTGCCGTTGCCCCCACCCCGTTGCTGCTGCATTGCCAGAGATGCGTTTTCTTTGTTCTATGTAGGACCCCTCCACGCCGGATCGAAGGACGAAATGCGACGAAAAACAAGCACGTCAAGGATACGTTTTTTTCTACAGAGTGGTCGAAAAATTTGCTTGTAATTGGTACGGGACTTTGTTTTTAAATAAATGACACAGTTTGAGAAAGATAGCATGCTCATTTAAATTATCAAATTATAAAATAAATTTCATCACCTCGTCTGTCGGTCTGAACGCGTCAAACTCAAAAAGTACAAAAGCATTTCCATGAAGTCTTTACCAATGGATAGAGTGATTCAGGAGGAAGGCTTAGGTGTATAATTCATCAAAGTTTTAATTGAACCGGCTGAAATATGACGACAATTGTAACCCAAGGTATCAAAAATTTACTGTAAAAGTAATTATTTGGCGTAGGCTGTGAAAGTTTATGATAATACAGAAAATAAATACAGTAATACATGTTTATGAAACTACTCATTGAAAAAAGTCCGCGGCGCCAGTGGAGTATATATGAGGCTCAAATCAGCTAGTTGCCGGTTTTTTAAGGGCAAAAACTGGCATTCGTTCAAATGTGTCCTGTCCGTAATTTTGAATATGAGCTTAGAGGCCATCTCATGCATCTGAAGACAATGAAAATGATAAAATATCTTTTGGCAATAACAAAGTATCTTGAAAATCATTATTCATAGAGGAAAATGCTGAAAAAACTCATTTAAGAAAACATTGAAGACAATGGTTAGACAGAGCTCATACAGCATACGATTCGAGGACTGTATTTATGCTAGAATCTAGCTAGTTCGCATATACATATATTCTGGATAGCCAACCAATACCAATGACAGTCTGGCTACGCCTTTCAAATAAAAGTGGAATGCGTTATGACTTCTCCAATGTTTTGACTTTCGCTCGCATTTTTCGTATCAATTAAATTTCAGCTTTTTTTGAAGAGTAAGGGCGTTAGAACGATTTTTCTATGGTTAGCCGACTTGAGTTCCTTTAGCTCTTTATCTTACCAGATTTGAAATGGTCAGTTTTTTAAATAGTTGTGTAGTTATTTCTCCTTACGAAATAAAATATCGAAAAACATCAACGCGATGTAACATCTTTAAACATTAAAACTGAGATAATACGAGAAAATATCATGGTTCTCATGAGAGCGCTTCTAAATTTCAATGAACTATCTCAGAAACCAAACGGTAGAATACTTTCAAACTTCACATAAAGATATACCAACTCAACAAATGTCTTCTAAATTCGCCGGTTGGCTTCATTGACCTTGTCCCTTTAAATTTGTTCGGACCAGTGTTTCCGTTTGTTCGCATTTGCGTAGTAGACATTTCAGGGCATCACTAGTTGTCTGGTTCAACATATTTTACAACAAAAACAGAGCTACGCACATGTGAGCCAAAGCTCAAACAGAGAGCAGAAGCATAGCTTACACATATGGTCTGAAAAGTACAGGAACCCAACGATAATTTGTGAACTAATAATGATATGTAAAAACTAAGCCCGCAATTGAGACGAGTTTTCCTCAGCTACCATGGTTCGCTCTTGATAATGACCTTCGAGGTCATCTGAATGCCAAGTAGATTTTTTCAAATGAAACTCTCCATTTTTGACACCGTAAATGAAAAGAACGGAAAATTTTACGCTTAAATATGGTCTTCCTAAATTTCCTCCCTAGGAGGTTATGGTCAATGTCAAAGCCAGGTACGGTGATATAACTTGAATACCAGTACTCGTATAGGGAAACTACACAGACATTATTTCCTTGATATGTCCCTGGATATCCAATGGTGATCTTGGATTTTAAGCAATGATGACCGTCAAGGTCATGTGAAGGACAAGTCAGTTTATCGGGAGATAACACAGTTTTCTGAACTGTCAAGAAATTAAGGTAAACTTGTGTTTGGCCTTGATGGTCAATTCAAGTACAAGGGCAAGGACATACTCTGATAAAAATTTATCTTTCCCTCGTTTCCGCCGCCAAAGGTATTAGGGCCCATTGAAGAAAAATGACGTTCAGTGGATTGACTCTGCTCTTCCTACGCATCGCCGTCATCAGTTCATAAAGGATTAGGTTAGGCGCAATTTAAATCCTCTGAGAAAATGTGGCAACGTTGTCCCTTTCCACTTCTGCGCGGCTTCTCCGCAGCTAGTTATCTTTAAGTTCGTGCAAGCTTCGTATGATGTTAGGACTTCAGTAGAATGTAGGGGTATTCATTTGAAAACTTCCCACCACGGGCTTATCGAAAACCACTGATTAGAAAAAAACGCCGAGACACGACAAAAACTACTTCACCTCCTTTCACCCTCGGCTCCCCAGGATGATTCCCTAAAAAGTTTTAAATGACAAGTGGTATCGAGTAATAGATTGTTTGAAAGGTCTTTCTAAGTCCTTTATTTTGACGTTTGATTTTTTAAAATCAGTCGCTTTCGAGAAAAATCTTTATTCAAATAGAAAACAAAAAAACACACGAAAATATCACTTTTTATTTCAAGGGTTCAAAATGTTGCCAAATCTACAATTCGTTAATTTAAAACGGAAGCTACCAACATAAATAGTAATTCGGAAGATATGACGTGGCGACAACCAAATAACAACCCGGATTTTTTTCCGCATTATTTTCATCAACACATGTCCTGGGCCTATTTATTGGTATACCTTTGTGACAATCTTGGGATAGTGAACATTAATTTATTGATTCAGATTTTATTTTCAAAATGGTTTACACACTAGCCGAAAGAGTGGAAATGATTCTAATTTATGGTCCCCAAAATCAGTGTGCTCGGCAAACTCGTTTAACGCCAGACATCCGGGGAAGATAACTTCGCATAGATAGGATATATATATTGTAACTAAATTTACTCAAACTGGCTGTTGCAAATAAAAAACGTGATCTTCGGAGAGTTTTGGATGAAGCCCCCCAGGTTGAAGTTTTGGGTCATTTTGGAATAAATCCTAATACTTGATTACCCAAAATTGTTGCTGCGACTGGTACTTCATTAGGCTCTGTACACTCTAAACTCGATCAATTTCATCTATTCAAAATGAAAATGTTGCAAGAGTTAACCGAAGATGGTTTTTATAGTTTTGTGAACAAATGACTGCAACGATTAATGATAATACCATAAATACCATAAAAAATATCTGTTTCAGTGATGAATACACATCTTATCTAAATGGATTTTGTTAATAAGCATAAATAACTGCAGATACTGGAGCAATGAAAATCCTCATGCTTTTGTAGAAGGGCATACCCAGTATCCCCAATTAATTTATTTCTATGTGAACAAATAAGATAAAGACAGATTTTTATAACTTTCTTGAAAACGAATCGACCGATTCTAAAAAATCAAACGTCGAAATAAGGAACTTCCGAAGATCTTTCAAACAAGCAATTACTGGATACCCCTTGTTATTTGAAATTTTTAAGGGGATGACCTTGGTGGCAGAGGTGGTAGGGGTGAAATAGTTTTTGTTGGCAAATCTTTCGACGTGTCCCGGCGTTTTTTCTTTTAATCAGTGGTTATCGATAAATCCGTAGTGGGAGGTTTTCAAATGAACACCCTGTAAATTAGCCGGACAGGGTCGCCAGGGGGTTCCGTTTGATAGGGACGAGTACGCGGATCGAAGACATTCCTCTATCATTTTGAAATAGGCAAATATACGGGTAAGTGATTTGATGTATGGCGAATAGGTGCATAGAATTAACGCGGTCGGGAGCGTACAAATGCAGTGAAATCTGGTGTCCGTATGAAAGAAATACAACAAAAATCGTGTTTTTAAGAAAACTGAATATAATAAAGAAACTAGGACTTTTAAAACGTATATGTATATAAATATTTTTAAAATAAACAGATAACTTTAAACTTAAGAAAAAGATTTGTTACTTTTAGATATATACAAATTATATACAAACATATGTATAATATAATATGTAAGTACATACATATATGTACACAAAAGAATGAATTACAATGGCGGCTTGAAATCGTATTTCTAATTTAGAAAGAAGCTCCGTAGGTATCTCTCTGATTTTCGACAAAACCTTTGAGCTGCTTAGTTGGGGTAATGGTCATAATTTGGACTATCATGTGTTGGTACTGGAACATCATCGACATCAGAATCTTCGGAAAGTTCTTGTATTTAAACTGGATTCTCAATATCTTGACCTGCATCTGGATCTTCAACATATAAACTTTCAACTAGGTCCGAGAAATCATAAAAGTTTCCATTATCAGTCAATTTCAATGAATTCCTATTTTTGAGGATATCTGTACATTAAGTGGTAAGTCATCTTCTGGGTCAAGTGTATCAGCCTCGTTTAACTGGTCTCAACTTTGAATATTTTCATGCTTAACTCCTGCTTTGCCGAAGCAATTTTGCACTGTTTCTTTGGTTGCTTGGTCCCAAGCGGTTCTTGCCAAAATAAACTGCATCCAATGACGTAATTTTTTTTAACTTAGAAGCTATACCAGCAGTTTCAATATTTACTTGCAGACTTCGGTAATATGTTTTCAAACTCTTGATAATTCCTTGGTTGAGTGTTACAACAAGCTTATGTACAACTAGGGGGCAAAAATAAGATTTTCATATTATTTAACCGAATGTCTTTTAGATGAGATCCCCATTGTCTAAAAATAACAAGATGTTTCTATTTTCTTTAGCCATTTGCCAATCTACGTAAGTCGTGCAAATACTGTCATAATTTGGAGCCAGTTCTATAATGAATGTGTCGCCCATTGTGTGTTTTCCGCATAGACGTCAGACTAATACTGAAATTTAATCGAAAGCGTTTTGCGTGTACCCAAAGAATAAGAACGGTAAATCCCCAACCAACTCGGGGAAGTCCCGAATTCACGCCGGGCAGAAATGCGCCACATTGACTGCGTTTGTACCGAAAGAGTAAAGTCGGTGACGATGGCAATAGCATAACAAAAAAAATAATAATAATAAGACAATGAGTTTCTTTTTGTTTTGTTTTTTGTTTTGGTTACGAGAACATTTTCTCGTGTCCGCGTCCGTTTAAGAAAATGTCTGTCGAAGAGATAGTTAATGCAATGCCAAGTATATGAGAGTCGGTTGGGACCATGAGAAACTGTCCATTTAAAGGGAGTGTCCGTGTAAGAAGGGTGTCCACGA